GAATCCTTCGAAGACCACTGTGGTACACATGCACACATTCAAGTCTTTCAGAGTTCTGAAAAGGTCAACCTGTCCATTTTTACCTTTAGCATATGGTAATATAGATTTTTGCTTTTCACTTTGTGAATTTAAAAAAGTAAATATTCCTGGGGCTGGGAAGGTGGCTCAGTGGTAGAGTGCTTGCATTCTTTGAAATATTCTGAATATGCATATATATGTATTATATCTATCTGTATGCATATATAATATATTGTTTTTGCCAATTGAACAATAGAATGCTTGATTATTATTTGATATATGTGATAAAGTACATATTGTGATTATATTTAATATGTGTTACACATAGTATGGATTATTGACCTAATTACATCTCAGCAAGTATAAGACTGGTCTCATTCATCTTGGTTCATGAGATTAAGAAATGTAGAGCTACTGTTCATGGATATGCATGTATGCAATGTTCATGTATGCAAGATGCTGTCCCGCATTTTTCTATTATTCTGTGTGTGTGTGTATGTGTATGTGTATGTGTATGTGTATGTATGTGCATGCTCTTGAACTCAGGGCCTGGGCACTGTCCCTTAGTTTTTTTTCACTCAAAGCTGGTGCTTTACACTTGAGCTCCATGGCCTTTTGGTATAGTTAATTGGAATTCAGAGTCTCATGCTTTTGTCTCTCCAGGCTGGCTTCAAACCTTGCTTCTCAGATTTCAGCCTTCTGAGTAGCTAGGATTCTAGACATGAGCCACTGGCACCTGAAAACATTTTTTTTTTTTTTTTGGTTGTTCGTGGGACCTGAACTCTGGGGCCTGGGCTCTGTCCCTCAGCTCTTCAGCTCAAGGCTAGCTCTCTACCACTTGAGCCACAGCACCACTTTCCACTTTTTCTGCTTATGTAGTGCTGAAGAATTGAACCCAGGGCCTCATGCATGCAAGGCAAGCCCTCTACCACTGAGCCACCTTCCCAGCCCTGACAACCTTTTTTTTGTTACTTTTATGAGCAGTTCTTTCCTATTAGGAGTGATTACAAAGACAATTCTAAACATTTAAATGGGCAGTGAAGATTGGCGAGTGTGATCTTAACCCTCATTTTGTAATGTGAGCTATATCAAAGCCAGAGCATATTTGACCTGAAGACCACAGGGGCTCAGGTCCTCCTTAAGAGGATCCAAAGAGATCACAGACCACATTAAAGTATGATAGATATTGTAGTGTGGGCCTATTTTCTCACGTTTCATCAGAAAGCCAAAGAGTTCTGTGACACTAGAAGGTTAAGAATGCCTTTTTGTTCAATTTCATTGCTGAACAAGACTGTAGTTGTGTACAATGTTGTTTTCAAAACACTAGGAAATAAAGTGCCCGGATTGACGTTACAGTACTTCACTCATATACAGTATCCAGCTGGAAACTGATTTCTCCTGAACTTCCTCTAGAAATTTTTTTAATTGTTGATCACAAATCCAGTGTAATCCTGTTCCAGTTACCCTAATTTACATTACAAACCAATTTGAGAGGCCCAGGAATCTTAGGTGTAATTCTAATCTGGTGTTGACTCTGGCTCCTTTCAGATAAATATTTGCTGTTTTTTCATTTCCACATATTTAAGTAGCATGAAGACAGCTACCAATTCAGAAAGTGGTGCTGGGTTTCAGACTCAGGGCTTTGTACTGTAGGTTTGTAGGTGCTACATTCTCCACCATGGTAAATAAAATAATTTTTATTTATTTTTCTATTTATTGGCTTATATTCATTTTGGAGAGTTGTTACATCACCACATATTTTCACTCTATTCAAATCACCTTTATCTCCTATTTTTATTATTATTTATTTATTTTTGGTCAGTTGTGGGGCTTGAACTCTGGGCCTAGGCACTGCCCCTCAGCTCCTAAGCTCAAGGCTAGCACTCTACCACTTGAGCCACAGTGCCACTTCTAGCTTTTTCTATTTAGTGGTGCTGAGTAATCAAACCCAGGGCCTCATACATGCAAGGCAAGCACTATACCACTGAGCCACCTTCCCAGCCCCCTATGCACTATTTTTAATATCAATGTTTGCAGGCTGTGGCAAATGGAAGTTTTTGTTTTTTTTTTGGTTGGTCATTGGGCTTGAACTCAGGGCCGGGGCACTGTCCCTGAGCTCTTTAGCTCAAGGCTGGTGCTGTACCACTTGAGCCACAGTGCAACTTCTGGTTTTCTGGTGGTTAATTGGAGATTTGAGTCTCACAGATTTTCCTGCCTGGGCTCTCTTTTAACCATGATCCTTAGATCTCAACCTCCTGAGTAGCTAGAGTTACAGGCATGAGCCACTGTGCCTGGCTGGCAAATGGAAGTTTGGAGTAAATGATATGATACAGTTTTTTGACTTTTCTTTCTTGTTTCATTTTGTTTATTGCATTAATAATAATAGTTGGTTTATAAGTACCTTATATACAATGCTTTAGTATTGGCATGCAGTCCCCTAATATACATAGAAAAAGGAAGAGTCACATATGTATGAATGTGTGTGCATTCATACATATGTATTTTTGAGACAGAGTGCTACTGTGTAGCTCAGACTTTTGATCCTCTGCTTCAGCCTCCCATGTAACTAGTATTATGGGCATGAACCATTTGCCTTCTATAACATACCAGCATTCGACAAATTGAAATAGAAGTCCATTAGTCTCTCTTGCACTTTCAATGGAACTTTTACCTACTTACATCTGATTTTATGTTTCTTGTGAGTTAGTCATTTTGAAACTATTGCTGTCTTCTAACAGCACATTTACATTATCAACAAGCCCTGGTTAAACCTGTAAAGTACTGGGAAACTGACAGATTTACAGCAGCCGATGTAAAGTTTTCCAAAATGCTTGAAACCTCACACTCATTTACTTTGTTCAGTTTGAAAGAAAATGTCTGTAAATAACCTAGTCAGAATAACTAGTTTTTTTTGGGGGGGGGTCTGGTCGTGGGCCTGAACTCTGGGCCTGGGCGCTGTCCCTCTGCTCTTCAAGGCTAGCGCTCTACCACTTGAGCCACAGCGCCACTTCTGGCTTTTTTCTTTTTGGTTATGTGGTGCTGGGGAATTGAACCCAGGGCCTCAAGCATGCAAGGCAAGTGCTCTACCACTGAGCCACCTTCCCAGCCCACAGAAGAACTAGTTTATGAATTGTTTTTTCCTATAGAAAATGACACTCCATGAAGGAACAGCTTGGGCAGCTTGTCACTCACTTACACAAGTGATTTGCTTTCTTCCCCTTGTGTGTGCATGGGTGCATAAATGTATACTAAGGCCTAGGCTGAGTTCACTCAAGGCTAGCACTCTGCCACTTAAGCCACGTCTCCACTTCCAGTTTTTGGTGGTACATTGGAGATAGGAATCTCACAGACTTTCCTGCCCAGGTTGACTTTGAACTGTGATCCTCAGATCTCTGAGTAGCTAGGATGATATGTATGAGCTACCAACACCATGCTCACAAGTGCTTTTCTTCTAGATAGTAACTGTACTTTAGTGTGCATTCTGGTTTTTTTTTTTGCCGGTCCTGGGCCGTGACCTCTGGGTCTGGGCGCTGTCCCTCAGCTCTTCAGCTCAAGGCTAGCGCTCTACCACTGGAGCCACAGTGCCACTTCTGGCTTTTTCTGTTTATGTGGTGCTGAGTAATCGAAATCAGGGCCTCATGCTTGCAAGGCATCATGCACTCTACCGCTGAGCTACCTTCCCAGCCCCTAGTGTGCATTCTGTGCTGTGCACAAAGATCATCCAAAAGACCTATGCTCAAGGGTCAAGATTTAATGAAAGTAGGGCTGGGAAGGTGGCTCAGTGGTAGAGCACTTGCCTTGCATGCCTGAGGCCCTGGGTTCGATTCCTCAGCACCACATAAGCAAAAAAAGCCAGAAGTGGTGCTGTGGCTCAAGTGGTAGAGCGCTCGCCTTGAGCTGAAGAGCTGAGGGACAGCGCCCAGGCCCAGAGTTCAGGCCCCACGACTGGACCCCCCCCAAAAAAAAAAAGATTTAATGAAAGTAGCAATTCTGACTGGTTGCCTCCTTAGTGAAGAAGATTGGCTTTTAAAACTGCTATAATGTATGGTGGTGATGACTTGGGTTCCTTTGCTGCCATTGCCTTGATTATTGCTGAGGCGCTAGTAATTCCCCTCAATTGCTTTTGCACCATCAGTGCTAATGGCAGCAAGTGAAAAGACAAACACTGTCCTTTGTTTATTCTAAAAATAGTCCTGACCTCTGAAAAGGGCTTGAGGACTCCTCTCTTCACTCTTTGAGAGTAAGTCTGTACTGTCCCTTTGCCAGTGGAGTGAACAGAGGGTGGAAACATTGTCGTGGTTCGCGGTAAGATGGGAGGCCGTTATGCCTGGTATTCATTCAGCATTCATCTTAAGTTTCCTGAACACCACCTTCCCACATCTCTGTCCATGTCAGATTTGTACTGCTTGTCATTCAGCATAGCGCCTTTTCTGGTCTTCTGAGCAGGCAGCGATTCCTTTACACACACACACACACACACACACACACACACACACACACGCACACACGCACACACGTTTGCATCTACAGCTCCTCCCCTCCGTTTTTTGGGCACCCCCTTAATTATCTAAGTACCCACATGAATTATTGTTTGCTTTTGTAATCTCCATGTTGCCCCGAAGGGAAAACGTGGTGTAAATATTTGTGTCAGTGTCCTGCGATCAAAACTGAAAGCGAAGTAAAGCTAGCGTGCCAGTCCTGGAAGGAGCTCAAGGAGCCAACGTGGTTTTGGCTGCTGCTGTTTTGTGACCCATCCACTGCGTCCCCAGCACACGACAAGTTCTCCGGTCGGAGCCGGGAGTTCTGAGCGGCCGGGGACGGCGTGTCCCAGCGGTGTGTGTTTGTACATTGTTCAAACCTGGCGAGCCAGCGCTGGAAGCCCGCGGGCGGGGCGGGGCGGGGCGGGGCGGGGCGCGGAGGGCGAGCGCGGCGAGCGCGCCCCGCGTCGGGCTCGAGCTCGGGCTGCGGCCGGCCGAGCGCCCTGCCCATTTAAGGAGGCGGGCCGTACCATCCGAACTTTCTCGACGGGGGGAGCATCCGGAGAACTCGGACAACTTCGAACTAGCCCCAAGGCGGTATTCCTTTTCCCGGGCACTCCACGGCGGACGCTTGAGGCTGCTGGGTGGCAGCCCGGGCGCCGGTGGGCTTGGAGCCAGGCCCCCTTGGCTTGGTCTTCCTAGAAATTGCCCCCGGGGGCGTCTCTGGCTAGCTCCGAGTCCGGACGCCGAGTTCCCCGGCTCGTCCATAGTGCAGCTCTCCTGCAAGCCCCAGTGCCCGGATGTCCATCAGGATTAGTGCGAACCAATAGCCGGGAGGCCGAGGCTGCGCGGAGGACGCCCGGTCCCGAGCTGGCAGTCCGGGTATTCGGGAGTCGCACCGGGCGCCGTCCCCGCCCGGCTCCGGCAAATGGTGAGGGCGACGCTGGCCTCTGCGCCCGCGGGTTGGAGGCTCTGATGGACCGGAGATATCCCGCACTATAAACTGAATGATGGCAGCCTACTCGAGGTAAGGCAGGCACGGAGAGAAACTTTTGAGATCGGTTCGTGGCCGGGGGACTTGCAGGGTGCGGGCGGCGGGGCGCGGGTCGGGGGAGTTGGGGTGCTGGGGAGAAGAGCGGCAGGAAGCAGCTTTGTCATTGCGCGCTCATCACCCCTGACGCTGTGGCTCGTAACCGAATGGCAGGTAGGAAACAGTTTGGCGCACAAGCCCGGTGCAGAGAGGGACTGACTTTTAAAAGTTAAGGTTCCAGTGAAGATCTTTTTTTTTTTTTCTTCCTTAAAACAACCACCACCTTGTTTATTAAGTTGATTTCACTTGGCCTGCCTGTGCCCCAGTTTTCCTGTATGCACCCCCACTTCTGTGATTCTCTTGATTGCTCGCTGGTGTCCTGGGCGGAATTGGGCGAGCACAATGAGTGTCGAAAGTATAACTGGTCTAGGGTAGGGCGGGTGAGAATTTTCCTGCTAGAATGAAGGAATCCACATGAAAAGGCACAGCTTGTGTGAATCTGCTGAGTAGGCAAAGACCTGGAATGCACCGAGGTCGGTGAAGGGGAGAGACCGTACTATAATGAGCCGCAGTTGCTGTCAGGAGCGCTGGTGTCAGATCCTACGCTTCGGCTTCCCAGGACTGGGCTTGCAAATGAGCGTTAAAAAGGAGAGGTGCAAGGCTTTAGGGAGAGGTAGAAGATTCAGATCGTCCGGAGGGATTTCATTTTCGTTGGGGCTGAGGCAAAGCTGAGGCGTGGTGTATGCATTCTCCTAAACCTTTACTAGAAAGCAATGTGTCCTTAACGGGGTTTACAATAACAGGGAGGCTCTTAAATAATATTTGATGCAAGATATCGATCTGGGGGAACATTTCAGAAGGCTGAACAGATCTCCGCATATTCAGATCATAGTGAGAAATAGATGGGGAAAAGTTGAAGTTTTGGTGGGTATGACTTGGGAAAAATTTTCCTAAGGAATAGAACTTTCTAGGAAGGAAAGAATTTCTATTACATAGATAACCTCCTTGCTTTTTATATTTAATCCTCTCAACTTAGTGGTTTATCCTCCGTTTTCGTTTTATTGATTATTTTAAGAAAAGCTTTCCAAGCCTGGGGCCCAAGAGTAGAACCGGAATGAGAAACAAAAGTTGCATTTTTACTTTGGCTAAACTCTAGGTTTAGTTAGTGTTGTGATCATTATTGTAGGAATATAGACAGACACAGAAGTGTAATACCAGTGTGGATATTTTGTATGGCACCAAAAATTAAAACCACCTATGGGTTTGCAATCTCATTACAGTTACATTTACTATTTCTATGAAGCTAAGGAGTTGCTTTTTTACATGGATAGTATTTTACATGAATATAATATTTTAAATTATGTTTATAATTTTATATAACTTATATGATGTTTTACATGAATAATAAAAATAGTACTGTATCCTTAATTGGTCTTTTAAACCAATTTGATAGTTATGTTCCTATATAATTTACTCACTTTGTATTCTGCTATGTTTTATGGAATGTATTTCAAAAGGTTCTCTGCAGAGTGCCATTATGTTCCAGGGGCCCCTAGCATAAAACCTTAGATTAAGTTTCTTTGATTTAAAAAATTAAGTGGCATCACAGACAGAGCACAGTAATTTAGCACTGAGATTTGAACCCAGGTTCAGATGAGTCCAATGCTGAAGCATCCCCTTCCTCCCCCAGTCATTTGGACATTTATAACATCATCCACAGGCCTAGATTTATTACATTTCACTTTAAAAAAAACTCCTGGATTTATTGAATTTCGAGTCTCACCTGAAAATTGCCTTGGCAGGGTTGGAACAAATAATGTGGAGAGTCAAATGTTAAGGCTAGGACAGAAGATAAAAGTAAAAAGAGATGAGTAATAACTTGAACACAAGGTTAAGCTGCTTTAATTGGATTACCTCTTTGACTAGTCTTAGTCACCTAAATAGATAAGTGCTTTTTACTGTCTACCTTTGTTAGTCCTGGAAACTGAGGCCCTGCCAGGGAGTTTTTTGGCCTGAGGTCACACAATGGAGCCTGCTGGACTGGAGCTTCTCTGATGTACTTCATAGCTGTCTTAGTAGACTGCTGTCTCTTCAATGCCAGGGTGAACTGTTGAAAGGGAGCTGCAGAGGCTCAGGGTAAGGGATTTCTGCTCAAACTGGTTTGCAGCAAGATGTCATAATCTGTTATGTGTGGTGGCTCTTCGTGCTAGCAACTGAAACTGGAGGCCTGAACCTATTTCTGACACTCAGCTTGGCCTTCAAACCTGCCCTGGGGCTAGAAATAATGCCCCTAGGTCACCCTGGAGTGATTTCAGCACCTGCCTTTTGGGAGTGTATCTCTCTCGTTAAAATCCTTAAATTGTGTATTGGAATGTAGAGCAGGCTGATTCTGACCTTGTGCCTTGTGAGAGAGTAGATAATCTCTGAGATCCAAAGAGTGAATGTGGAAAAGACTGAAGATATTTTTGGATTTCAGGGAAACCCCAAAGCTGGGCCAAGTTTCCAGAAGTGGAGAAACTGAAACATTGCAGTTTGTGGCGTATAATCTTGAGTGGTAAACATCTTGACCATGTTGCCCCATATACTATTTGCCCTTGAGACAATTATTTTGGATTTTTCAGACTCATTAGACTTAGCGATTCATAGATCATTGTTTAACAAGTAGTTTCATTGTACATTGAAATTATTTGTAGTGAGAACTTGGAAATTTTACAGCAGTGAAGGTGAATATACGAACTAAGCCATAGAAGTTTTCTCTAAATGCTATTGCTGTATATAGGGCATTGGCATTATTGATTTGATACTTGTGGGTAGAAGATGCTAATTTTTCACATATGAATTGGCATATTTCCTTTTCTATAGCTGGCTCTTAAGGGCAAAATATTACTTCTTATTTTTAGTGTTCCTTAGTTACTTTGAAGGAAGGGGAACTATTTTCTTGGCTTATGAAATTGAGGTTACATATTCATCTAAAACAAAATTAGTAAATTACCTTTGTTTTACTTTTATGGCTGATCATTTAGCAATGAAAGGCACTTGTTTAATACAATGTGAAGTTCCGACTCTTTTTAAAAATAAGCTCTTTTTTTTTTTTTTTTTTACTTTTTGATCAGTATTTTGAAAACAAGTAACATTTGGTTTATTAATTATTGGAGTTCAGGAGAGAGCTGGTCACCTAAAAATATAAAATTATTTATAGAGGCTTCTGTACTGTACCTCTGCTTTCAAAGGGTGGGTTTTGGAATCTGTAGCACATATTGAGTATACTTCCTTCAGGGAATTGTAAACAAATTTACTTTTTTTCAACCAAAAAAGTGAAATAGTCACAGAGCAAAGATTAGTTTCTAAAATCTGGAAACTGTCCTTTATATAAGTCTGTAAATCAGCACTTCCTTTTTTTTTTTTTTTTTAAATTAGTAAGCCAAACAGTTTATAGATCTTTTTCTATGTGGATTAACTTCCTTTATATGGAGGATGATTGTTGATGGATAAAATGAAGAGACGGGCTTTGTTTGAATTTCCAACTTCTTTAACTCAGTCATTGAAGTAGTCCCTGAACTCTAGAAAGGAATATATACCTACCTGGAGGTATTGCGAGGGATTAACTAGTTTTGAAAAGCACCTTGTGTTATCTGAGAAGCCCTGGGCGCCCTCTTCCTACCGGGAAGCATGCCTGGATGGATGGCCCAGAGGGAACTGAACTTGCTGCTTTGGGAGAGTTTTGTCTGTGTTGTCTGAACTCACATCCCAAAAGATAGCCCTTATAGACTAACTGCAAAAGGAAATTAGGTCTAGGCAACTCTCCCACAGTTTTTTAATTTTGAAGTTAAAAATGCAAAAAGCCAATCAAAAAAGTACAGTCAGATTGTTCCTGAAATTGAAATGAAGCTGGGTTTTTGGTTCTGGTGAGAGAAATGTTATCATTGCAAAAAGGACTACAGCGAACTGGTATGAAACCAGTTTGCCCTGCCCCGTGCCTCTACCTCTGACTTACACAGCTCCCTATTACCTGGGCAGCCAGTAACAGGGATGAATACAAAGCAGCTCTGATTAAATATGAGTTCAAGGGAGAAGTTTTGAGTGGGAAATATGCATGAGGATTTGACCCCTGGAATGACCTCATTTTCTCCTATGAAACCATTTTAAACAATGACCCTGACAGAACGGATAGGAACAGTTTTTTTGTTTTGTTTTTTGTTTTTGTCAGCTGTGGGGCTTGAACTCTGGGCCTGGGCACTGTTCCTCAGCTCTTCAGCTCAAGGAGAGCACTCTACCACTTGAGCCACATCGCCACTTCCAGTTTTTCTGAGTGGTTTATCGGGGATAAGAGTCTCACGGACTTTCCTGTCCAGGCTGGCTTTGAACCACAATCCTCAGATCTCAGCCTCCTGAGTAGCTAGGATTACAAGCATGAGCCACCAACACTCGGCACAAACAGGTCTTTTTTAAGTGTATGCTTTCTAGTTCTTCCTGAGAACTGCAGCTGAGCTCTTGACACATGGTCTACAGATGGAAGAATGGGGAGTCATTTGTTCTTAAAGTCAGCTGGTTTATATGATGTTGTCTCTTAAGAGATTTAGAGATGCTATACCATATCACGAGATAGGAGCTAGACTTACACCCTCTTGAGAGTGAGACTTAATGATTTTTTTTTTTTCCTGGTACTCTCCTGGGCTTGAACTCAAGGCTTTGGGTGCTGTGCCTGAATTTTTTTTTCTTCTTCTGAAGGCTAGCATTCTACCACTTGTGCCACAGCTCCACTTATGGCTTTTTTTTTTTTTTTTTGATAGCTTATTGGTGATAAGGGTCTCTGCAGACTTTTCTGCCCAGGCTGGCTTCAAGCTATGACTCTCAGATCTCAGCCTCCTGAATTGCTAGGAGTATAGCAGCACCCAGCTATGAATGCTGTTTTTTTTTTTTGCCAGTCCTGGGGCTTGAACTCAGAGCCTGGGTGCTGTCCCTGAGCCTCTCTCTGCTCAAGGCTAGCACTCTAACTT